AACATCGACCAGACTACACAGCGCGACAACCCAGAAGACAGAAATCTTTAGACTCACCGCCGTGAAAACCTCAAATCTGACGTAATCTCTGACTGCACTCATCTACTGTCCAATTTCAAATTAAATTTCTCAAAAAATAAACTCAATTTATAACAGATTAGTATAAAGCAATTGCTGAACAGTGATTAGCAGAACACCGACAAAGTACGAGAAAAACCTGCCTCAGTACCACTTAGTTCACCTCGAATTTCACGCGAAGTCACGCGGGACTGAACCCCATGCCCCGCGGTGAGAAGCCCATTTGTTAAACACTTTTTTCCCCGTCAAAATCTCGAGAAAACAACATTTTTTTTACAATAACCTTACGCTGCTCGTTTCTCCCTTTTTTTTTAAATTCATCAACTTAATGCTCTGTATATCGTCGAATGTTGAAGTAAGAACATGAAGATTGTGACTCATATTTTACCGAAAAGCAAACTTGGAATTGACAAAATCATTCATATAAGAAGAGAAACTAACACATTTCAATGCGACATGTTTCCGCACTTTGTCCGCCCATCCGTCCAATTATCCTGCGGCAATGGCTTCGTTAGATAAAACTCGAATGCCAACTGCGTTACCCGCGTTCATTTCTCAACACAAACTGGTTTTATATAAGTGTTTTAAGTTTAAATCTACCTGGCCAAGACACTGTAATCTTTAGGGTAAACGGAAGCAGACTGCTGGAGGAGCATCGTAACAGAATCGATTAGATTATTTTTAAAACAGATAACGCCTAGGAAGTTAAACAATTAGTCAGTTGCCGGTTGATTTTATAATAATGTCCATAAAAATCCATCTATGTACGTATTATAATGCAGTACGTCATTGCAGCCATAAAATATCATAGTGTTGAAAACTTCTCATGTTAAGAACAATTTTTTTCTGAGTTATACTGACCCAGCGACTTTTTTTAAAGATAAACTTCATATTTCAATGTGCAAAGTACGATGAACATTCATAATACATTAGAATTTCATTTGTAGAAACAGATACACTTTCAGAAAACTGGACGAGAATTTACAAACGCCTCGACTACAACTCGGAATATCTCGATATAATTTCAGATATTGTTACAAGATATTTTATATTCGTTCATTATACTACAATGAAATATATTATAAACTATATTCAGAAGTGTAAGAAAGCGACTTTTGTGTATACACGCACGAACACATGCGTGCAATGTGACAACAGTCACATAACACGAACATTTTAACCCCATCTATAATCAGATGCTAACAAATGCAATTCTGTTCAATTCTTTCGTATACATTTTGCTGATATTGAAATTCAACAGATGAGATCAAGTTCGATGGTATTATTACACCTTATATATAATTTCATAAGTCACCAAACTTAAAGTTTTCCCTTTATAGAATCTGCGTAGACAGACAAAAAAACCATCTGTCCATGAATTCATCCTGAGTATGGCACAACACAGAGTAGAAAGTAACTGCACATTACAGACATTCACTTATTTTTGGCGTATATTTTCAGTGTCAAGAAAACAACTAACAAAATTTCCAAATTGCAACAAATTAGATGAAAATGGGACTAAAAACCAGATTAACAACATTTTTCTCGAAAATTAATGTGTCACTTGAAGACCCAAATTGTAAAACAAATTTAAAATGCACATAAATATCAAATATATTTAAAATAATCTGCCGTACCTTCGAATACAACCCCTTTAGGACGCCATCGATTATTCTCGGCCAGACACGTAAAAGTGACAATCCTGAAGTGGAGCTCGAGGTCAGCGGAGTTCACGAACAATACGTAACTAAACGCATAACACAGCGTAATTTTTGCGTAGACATCTCAGTGTGTTACAGCGAAAATCATGTCAGAGCAAACTGGTCCAGGTAAAACTACTCACTGTTTATGGTGCACGAACCGCTTCTGACAACCTCTCCCATGAGAATGTGCGACGAGGAGGCTACCGTCATTTTTGCAACCCTTGGAGTTCCGCAGACAGTCGGGCAGCTCAGCCCCCCCCCCTCCCCCATGTATCGCGCTACACCGCAACCTCAAAACATCATCCCCCCAAAACATCAACTCACCCCGATATTTTTACCCGCAATATGAACGTAATTTGACGACTTTTCGATTCATTTTCGGCCTACACGAAATGATTTAAATGATTTTTAGGTACATTCGCAACTATAAGTTGGTAAACTTCTATTATGCTTCGCCACGTTCGTAGGTTTTTGGCTAAATCGGAGATAAAAAACGGGCACATGAGTAGGATTTGAGGTTCTCACGGCGATGACGAAAAAGATGTCTAGCTTGTGTAGTCTGGTAGAAGTTTACAAAACGTCCATACCTCCATCATCAGGACAATCGTCCTGATGATGGATGCAGCAACGACTTGCGAAGCGTTCTAAAACCAGACCACACGACACTACAATCCAGAGGAGAGCAATCAACTTTGTATGCGTTTTTGCACGAGTACAAACGGAGAAGCGTCTAAGCAAGCACGTGGGGTGAATCCCCCCACGACGACGTCACCACCCAGCTAGAGAGACGCCAGACACTCCCGTGGGCGCACCCCACACAACGCTGGCGTCACTGCCGCATCCTCAAAGGTTTTGATCGCACAGTCTCCAAAATTGGAAATCTAGACGCGAGAACCGAACGAACGTGACATGCATATATTTCCTAACTTGTTGAGTCACCTAACGAGGCTTCTTAATTGATTTTTTTTACACGGAATCAATGTTAGAAAGTGAGTGGTGACGTGAAAGCAGTCGTCGCCAATTTCAAGACACCACCCCAGTATTTATCTGGAGAGACTAAGGAAAACCACGAACATTCTCGAACAGTTCAGCCGGGCCGAGATTCGAACATGGCAGATCCCGAAGCAGGAGTGACCACTCAGTCACAACATAACAGACGCGCGTAATAAATCAGAACAAAAACGAAAATCGCAGGGAGGAAAAATTAGGAGGTCCCGGGAACAGAACATTGATCTTCAGGAACGAGAGTGGGTATTGAAGTTAATGTTAATTGACGGATAACCCGGTAATGTTGATGTTATGGGCTTTAGGGCAGTGTACACTCGTCAGTAGATGCCAACGATTCGGAGACAATATGTTTCTCCGAAACGTTGGCATTACAGACGACATTGCACTGTACCAAAACCCCAGTCGAACATCAAAGTTCAAAATTTTATTTAATTAACTGTTTCAGACAGCGAAGAAAGGCGTAGCGGTCAATTTTGGTACTAAGGAAACATCCCTTAAATATAAAAGTACTGTTATCGGTATAATTAAATATGCCTAGTCCTAAGCCAGACGAATCTAGTTCGCATCATCCCATCTCATCTAAGATACATTTTAATATTATCCTAGGTACACCCAGATATTCAAAGTGGTCTGTTCCGTTAAGGTTTTCCGGCTCAAACTTTGTGCCGACCGAATGCGTGATACGTGCTCCGTCTTCCTTGATTTCGTAACCCTCATAATAATTGGCGAGGAAAAAAAATAAATTAACTCATCACATAATTTTTTCCAGCCGTCCCAGATCCAAATATTTTCCTCTGCGCTCACAACCAAGTTCTTCCCTTAGGATGAGAGACCATGTTTCATATCTACACAAAACAAGTTGCAGTTAGAATCTGAGGTTCCCACGGCGGTATAAAGATGGCTGTCTTCTGGGTTGTTGCGCGCGCGTAGTGTGGTAGGAATTATAGTTTTGTGTAGACTATATTTTATATTTCGCTTTTAAAGATCAGGTGGAAAGACAGAAGATTCTGAACTGAATGAGTTTCATATAACTCTACCATCAACAACATCACCTTTACGGAGGTTACAGCGTCCAACGTTCAGTCCTGACGTCTTCTGCGACAAACCTAAGTAAATAATTCGCATCTGTTACGTAGTGTTTGTGGGAAACTCCGATTTACAACAACGGAATAGCAAGACAGACATTTGCCTACCGAATCCACGACGATGGCACTTTAACAACTGAAGGATCACCCCAGATATTTTCTCATCGATTCATTCAATGTGGGACAAAACAATAGAATCCGTCGTAACAAAGTTTGCGCCATCTTACTGCGTTCTGGATTCGATATCCACGTCCAACACACATCGTAACGACAAATATTTAAAATACAAGAACCGGATAAAGGTAGGAGAAGCGCGAAGCTTCTCACAATTTATTTAACATTGCCTCCAGGCCTTCCACGGGTCATTTATGGTGTAAGAACGATGCAGAGGGAAGATTTCTACAGCAGGACTTGTAAGATCTGTATAGTTACGTATAAATTTACAAATTTTCAAGAAAATTTCTTGTTTCATAGTTTTATACATGGAAAATCTGTGAGTTTGTTACAATTTTGAAAAAAAAAACATAAATAAACGAAAGGGTTTCTATGTTTCGTAACAGGTAGTACACAACATCGGGTCATTCACCTCGTCTGGTAACCAGACGGTTGCTATGGGAACTCACAACGCTACCGACATCTAACAGCGAGACAGTTGAACTAAAGGTTCTTCTTGTTCTCCCCCTTCCTCCCGTACCCTCTTGCAGGGGTGCACCATTCGTGACACGTGCCACAAAAAATAATTAAGAGACTGACTCTCGCAACAGGGGCCCACTCTTCCAAATTGTTTTTAAAAATACTAAAAGTCACATGGGGGAAAATCATTACCAGAACGCCACGTTACTATGCCAGATTATCCAACGAATTTGATCAATTAATCGTCCCTCAGACCGAAACGTCAGAAGCTAAGAGACACCGAACTTCCACGATCGGTTCAATGCCTGAAAAATCATATAGCAGTGCCACACGCGTTTTAGAATAGTAGCAGACACACACCAGACACATATAAATGGATTTAGTACACCAGTTTCACAACCCGGAGCCCGCAAACCCCTGGGGGTCCGCGAGTCGAGAGATCTCTTTTGAATCATAACCTTTTTCCATCGCATTTTTAATTCCACAATGATTACTTTTTAACTGGACGTCGACGTTAAGAAAGACAACGTGATGATTCCATCAAATTTTATCATCCTTATTTATTAACACTTAATTTTCTATTCTATTATAAAAATTTGTGATTTCGTCGTCGTCAATAAATGACGTCATCAACAATGTCAACTATGAACAAACTCGGCATTGTTGTGTTCCACAACAATGCCGAGTTTAGTGTCTTACTCAAGATTTCAAAACGCAACCAACCCCCCCCCAAAGGAGGGGTTGGTCAAGTATTTTAACCCTCCATTCGGGGGGGGGGGTTTAGTTTCTTAAGCAAGATTTTAAAACGCAACCCCCAAAAAAAAGGGGTTGGTTGCTTTTTAAAAACTTGACCAGCCCCTCCGAGGAGCTCCGAAAGGAGCGTTCTGCCCTAGTTATAAAAAAATTCCCATGTTAAAACAATTTATCCAGGACATTTGAAAATTGAAAGACGATGTTAAACGAACGGAGGAGGAGGACATTCGTGTGACACTTCCATGCTGAGAAAAAAGAAAAAGATGCCATTTGACTGTGAGGGACGCAGCAAGGTCAAAAAGCATCTGAGATATTAAATGTTACGCATACAACATGAATTCTGTTCACAGTTTTGCTGTGTGGAATACCATCATGGGATCATCCCTCCTGACAATGCCATGGGGAGTGCAAAATTCTGGTCTGTTGATGGGTATCGTTACTATTGTCATGATGGGGGGCCTGTGCCTCTCCACGACGCACAAGATCCTTCAGGTTCAGATGCGACACGGTAAGTATAACTTCAGATCCTCTTTCATTCATGACCATGACCGGAAGAAGGCATCGGCAAATTAATTAATTCCTATCAAATGTAGATCTTCAGGGTGCAAAGTCATTTGGGCTTGGAGGTGAATACCAATGCTCGTCAAGAACAGGACTGAAGTTAAGCCATGAAAATGGAGGTGAAGGGAAAGGTAACTAGAGTACGAAACCAAAACACACCTCCACCTAGTCTGCAGTTTATTCTGCAGCATAAGAGGCCCAGGGATGAGTTTGCGAGATAATCCATTTTTAGTTCAGTAACAAAAAGAAATTTTGTGACAGGGAAAGCAAATTCTGATGGAGAGGTAGCAGAGCTGGCAACACTGCTACTAGGTCGATGGGCAGGCTACATTGCTAAGCTGTTCTCGTTACTGGTGCTACTTGGAGCTGTGATAGTGTACTGGGTGCTTATGAGCAACTTCCTATACCATTCTGTTGACTACATATATGGTAAGTAAATTACACAATAATTATCTCTGGCTGCAAATTTGACTGTCTTCTGGGATGTTGCACCCTGTAGTCTCATGAATAAACTGATCTTTCAGAGGTTCGATGAGTCGTAACCCTGATGACGGAGGAAGAAGCACCTTTAAAATGTAAGATTTGAGGTTTTCACAGCGGTGAGTATGAAGATTTCTGTCTTCTGGGTTGTTGCACCGTGTAGTCTGGTGGATGTTAACCAACGTTTCAGAGGTCATACTGCCTCCGTCATCAGGGCGATGAATCCTGATGACAGAGGCAGTATGACCAATGTTGTTCAGTTTCTATGAGACCACACGGCACAACATCCAAGACAATCGACGTTATACGAAAGAAGCTGCGTGTATTCCGGGCCAGTTAAAACTGCTTAAGAAACTTCATTTCTGTGATTTTTAAAATAATTTTTAATGTATTTGCAGGACATAAATATAATACTTTAAAAAAGTAGTCCGAGGCCTTGTTTTAATATTCTAACGCGGAATGTAACTGTCAGAATAACCATCTGACGAGCAAATAGCGGATTTGAATCTAATGAAGTACCACATTTGTCACTTTCATATTTATAATAAATCTACAGAATGATTTCTTTTTCCAGAGACTGTCACACTTACAACATCCAGTGAAGTCAACAGTTCCATGACAACACCTTCTGGTGAGTTTCAAATAAGAGACTTGTGTAGTCGCCTCTTGCCCCACTTGGGATTTTCGGTGGACACAACTGCTTAGTAATTTTCATTTCACCAAGAATGTATTTTAATATTTTAAACAGTATAATTTATGGTTACTGATAACTGGTTCAAATTAAATTCTATCAATATTAGAGATAATGCGAAGACGACAAAATTAATGACAGGGTTGTTTCAACCAATCTCTAAGTTCTTTAACGATTACAAACCAACTGAAGAGATTGTGCAGCATAAGAATGAACAGAGAATGCCAATGGAGAGTGAAATGATCAGACAGAAAGCACAACTCGTGAGATTCGAGATTTTGATGGCAGTGAGGATGATGATGTTCTTCTGGGTTTTGATGCCATATAGACTCATCGACAGATGCCTCCATCTTCAGGGCTGAAGTGGGTAGCCTAGAAAGAGGCTAGATTAATATAGGTTTAGAGGAAGGGAGTGTGGGAATGGGCAAATCTGGGCCAAGGCTACTGACAATTACACACCAAAACCCAGATCATCATCATAATCATGGCTTATCTCCTGCATTCAGTTGTAAAAACTCAGGAAAAGTACAAAGAAGTCAAAGAATATGACTGCCCTAGATAAGATTAAAAAATAATATAAGTCAGTTGCAACAGCACTGAACCAGCCTAGCTTTCACTATTGGCATAAAACCAGAGCAAACAAAATGTTACATTTTTATAATCTTTGTCATCTCCAGTTCTATGTCCTCGAGATGAGACAGACGGTGATATAATACTGAACGCAACATTACAGTTGGAAAGGCCAAAGTCAATATACAACAAAGTGTGGGACCTAACGACGACCGTCCCAATATTCCTCATTCTCATCATCGGCCCCCTCATCAACTTCAGAAGCGTCACCTTCTTCACCAAGTTCAACTCTCTAGGTAAACAGATGTGTTAAACTAGCGAGTATGCACAGAACTGGCAAATATTGTACTAAAAATTAATCTTACATTTAATTAGAAAAATGTCCTAAGTGAGTACCCTTCAAAAATACATATTAGAGACCCGCGACACAAAAGCTGGGAGCATGAAAACTGGTAGTAATAGGATGACGAGCCATTCACACGGAGGAGGAATTGGAATAATTCAGGTCGACAAGCTTCAATAGTCTTTGAAGATGAGTCTGGGATCACGAATGCTGATAATCAACTTCGTATTACAGGCACTTTGTCTGTAATGTATACGCTGCTCTTTGTGATAATCAAGTCGGCAACCTTCGGCATTAATGTGGACTTTATCAATGTGACAAACATCCACTTCACACCACTGTTTCAAGCAACATTTCCAGCCTTATCAGGCATGGCAGCTCTCTCCTTCTTTATCCACAACATCATCATCACCATCATGAGAAACAACAGGAATCAGGAGAACAATGTAAGTATCAACTGAGAATAAAGTTCAAGGTTAATATACGCTTTATTATAAAGGCCTGCTGAAATTTGAATGTAAAATTTAGTACTGACCAAAACAGTACATAGAAGATGTTGAAACATTTCAGAAAGTGTGTGAATTAGAATGTAACAAAAGTTACAATGGCTGATATTTAAACTAACTAGATGGCTTACCGAATCCGAAGGTTCATCACCGAATTAACCAAAGCCCTCCACCGGACCATGTCCTGGGCCAACAAAATCCAGTCTCCTTCAACTCCTATCTCCCATAGATCCCGCCTGACATTATCCTCCCATCTATGTCTAGGTCTCCCCAGCGGTCTCTTCCCCCCAGGCTTCCCAACCAATACCTGGTGCACACCTCCTGTCCCATCCATGCGCGCTACATGCCCCGCCCATCTCATTCTTCTCGACTTAATCACCCTGACAATACTAGGGGAGGAGTACAGAATTTTAAGCTCAACATTATGCAGTTTTCTCCATGCCCCATTGTCTTTCCGGATGACCAATATTACTGATATTAATAGCTACATCAGTTAACATACTGTATAACTACTGCAACTAATGAATTTTCTTCCATTTTCAGACTCGGGACTTGTCCATAGCATATCTCTTAGTAACCCTGACGTATGCTTTCATTGGAATACTCTTCTATGTCTGCTTTCCTCTCGACAAGATTTGCATTTCTGACGTAAGTATAATACTGATACTCAGCAGAAAGGAAGAGGGCCCTTCATTTTTGAAACTGATTTAAAACAAGACAGTTTATATTTGCTCTTGAAAATGTGCATTTTGTATAGTCTACACCTACTATCTCCATAAATTTTAAGCAACAAAAATAAAAGCTCTATTCATGACAGTTTTATAAGAGACTTTCATTTTAAAACTCAGGGATAGTCATAGGTTATAGATTACTCTTAACTCAAAGTTCACTGTTAGTAGTGATTTCTTTATAGTTATTATAAATTATAATGAGATGAGCTAATTGAAGAGTTATTTTTAAAATCAAGTTAATCGACTTTGGCACTACAGGGAAAAGCTATAGAAAACAAAATGTTTGTGAAGTATCGAGGTACAGTGATAACCAAATAAGTTGACTTGCCTAAGAAACAGCAAAGAACCAAACATGATTCACAAATATTACCACAATAATTATTCCATAAATAAGCAAAACTGCAATACACAAATGTGCAAATGAGGCAGGTTTGCTGTAGTGGACTTTGGGCTTCAGCTATATCACAGGATAACCCTGAAGGTAGAAACTTGAAAATGTTCAATGAAAAGATTGGATACAACTATTAAAGTACACGGCTGAAGCCCAGAAACCAATGCAATGCATTATTCAGGTGTTAGAATCCGATCTCCATACAGAATCAATACATCAGATTTTTATCTTGGAAGTTGGAGGATTTCTTAACCATTTAATTAAATGATAAACTGTTTTCCATAAATTAATACAATGCAAGGACTTGGGAACTAATTTTGTATGAACTGGTGGATTGTTTACAGAACCTGCTTGACAACTTCCAGAACTGGGACCCTATGACCGTCATCGCCCGGGTATTTCTGTTTTTCCAGCTGATCACGGTGTATCCCCTAATTGCATTCATGCTGCGATCACAGTTTTTCATGGCTGTTACAGGAGATGTATACCCTGGCCTACCTCATGTCCTGGGTTTTAACACTTTCGTCGTCATAGTCTGTGTTCTTTTTGCAATCTTTATACCCAGTATTGGCACCATTATCAGGTAATTATTTAATTTTGACTTCATTCCTAGTTTTTTATTAATCTTAGGATTGGTTTGCAACCCCATTTCAGGGTTGTTTCTTGTGAAGGTACCACGGTGGCTTCCCCTTGCCTTCCGTGGCCAGTCTTTATCCACCAGACTAGAAGAGAAAGGACGCGGACAAACATCCGTGCCTTTAGTGGGACTTGACCCCACGGTCCCAGTGGCCAGGCGCATGAGGTCAATGCCTCAGACCGCGTGGCCACTGCGGCCAGCCATTCCTAGTTCCAGAAATAATGTGTGCATTAGTTATTATGGTGCAAGGGACAACGTGAGATTTCAATATGTTTAGTCTTTCAAACACACTATGGAAATACTGGTTTATATTGGTTTAAAGCAGTGGCACTAAACTACAGTTTTGATTCCAAGGAGAATGTTTGGCCCTTACAAGGTTGTACTGGCTGTAGAATAAGATGGAAGATAAAAATATAAACTACATGACTAAACTCTTCTATCACAAAGATTGTGATAGTACAAAATGCCTTGTAAAAATTCATAAAATTATTTCACTTTAAGACTACTTGCCTACCTTACATTCACCCTCATATTCAGAAACAACAAATATTATGTTATTAATGTCATCTGCAATTTGTTTACATCAAAGAGAAGCAACTTGACAGCACTATCTACGACTTAGAACAACTTGAAAAACAAAGCTACATTTTGCAGTGCCTTATGGGTAAATTCTAGCACATCTTGCATTACCGAGTTCCAAAGTAAAGTAAAGCTGTCTCTCTACATGCCACGTAGGTCGTTTGGGGGGGAGCGGAGGGATAGCTCCTACTCTTTCTTGACCTCGACACTAGACGGGGGTGAGTGGTCAGCATCACGCCTCGGCCGTGCTTTACCCCCGGGAAAGGATCCAGGTACCCACTGGACAGGAGGATGGGGGGGCCCCAGAGCCGGTCTGAACGCAGAGGCTAGAGGAAAAATCCTCTGCTCCTGTCGGGGATCGAACCCCGATCGCCCAGCCCGTAGCCAGTCACTATACTGACTGAGCTATCCCGGCTCCTACCGAGTTCCAAAGCAAAATTAAAATATTCATCATGCACCTGAGCACTGTAGCAAAATGATTATCCCTTTATTTTTAATGTTGGTGCTGAATACATATGAGAAGTTAACTTTATGCCTTGGATGCCTTTATTTCTGGGGAAGAAAACCCCCAGCACCCAGTGGATAGGAGACAGGGTTCACCTCACGAACAATTTTTGACATCAACAATCCTACTAGGAATCAAACCAGGCTGACCAGCACACAGCCCATAACATTACTGATTGAACTATCACATTAAATGGATAGTCTGGCAACAATTTTAGTAATATAAAATTATCATTATTTGATGCTGTCGTTGAAAACTGAAATCAAAATTAAATATATTACTACAATGCAGTCAAGAATTGTCCTCTATTTTCAGGTATACTGGTGCACTTTGTGGACTTCTTTATATATTCACCCTACCCATCTTGTTACATCTTGCATCGCAACGTGCGTGTGGAAAGACTTCACTGATATCTACAATTTTACATCTCAGCATCCCAGTAATAGGAGCAATAAATCTTTTAGCACAATTTTTTGTGTGACAGAAGAAGAAGCCCTGTGCTACATTTGAGCAGAATATTATGGGACAAAATGAAGCATGCATCTGAGCATGGCTTCTACATAAACAAAAGTAGCGTTACTGAATGATGACTGGAGTGTGCATGACACAGGTAGATTCAGCTCTACGTAAATGTCTGTTGAAAAGGCTAAACCCTGTATCATCTTTGTATATCAGTCACTTTTTTGTTACTAAAATGAAAGGAAATAATGCAATATGACAAAAAGTGAAGAAAACATGCAGCATGCCTCTTCTCTAATTGTATCTGAAGACATTACTTTTCTGTCGCTGAAGCTGAAGATATTCCTTATATTGGCAATGAATTAACACTTATATTGATATGTTCTCAAAACACTAGCAACCACCTAAATTTCTTCGTAAGAATGTCTATTGAAGTACGAAAATAGTTATTTCACTCATTCACACTATACATTGTAAACTTCCAAGGAAAAGTGAAGCTATTTTGCATTTTAAATTCTTCACAGTGTGGTGAATTCAGTATACTCTAAGCATATCGACAGAATGAATGAAATCAAGAGTTAATCATGGAAACCTTTAAACAACGTCTCTCTCATTTAGTACAGTGCTAAAAGAGTTATGTGTATATTGACTAATTTCTGTGAAAGCACTTAATTCAGCAATATGCAAAGCGAGCTACTGACAACTGTTATTTAAATATACCATAAATAAATAGGCAGTTAAATCAACAGCCAAATTTTGATCACTTTCTGATGTAAGTTTTGTTCATGTGAATATTTCTGTCTTCTGGGTTGTTGCGCTGTGTAGTCTGGTAGATGTTAATCAACATTTCAGAGGTCATACTGCCTCCATCATCAGGGCGATGAATATGCCAATAGGGGGTGTGGGGCTAGGTTTATAGGAGCCGGACTGTGAATGGAGTAGCCTGTCCCGAGCCAATGGGAGCAGGCGTGGGAGTGGTCCAATAGGAGCACGTGGGCGAGTGTAAGAGAGGGGGTTAACAAAACTGACCCTAAAACTAGCACTTCTAAGCAGAGGTTTTAATACAAGAAGAACAAATCTCTCTGCCACAGACAAGTAATCAATAATTCTTAGGTTTTACAGTGGACAGTTAAACTGGTGTAGATGTTTTTCCAAGCGCCTCTTTGTTTCTCTACCCTTTTCATTCCACTTATACTTCACACCCCATCTGCCTCTGAGATGTCTGACAGCCACAAACAACTAGGATGTAATTACACAATTGGTTCCTGGATGAGGCTCTACCTCTGACCAGCATTTGCTTAGACTTACAAGTAAGACTGTTCATAGACCTAATGCCTACCTGAGAGATACAAGTTCAGTTTCTCGATGATAGCCTGTTAACTTCAAGTGTTCAAATTTCTGGACATCTTGCAGACTTGACGTTTATTCTCGGAGGATTCTTGTACAACCAGACAGTGTCAAGCCCCGTACCAAGAGTAGCATCAGGTGTCCATGTTGGAAAAGGGAATCTACATGCTACCACATGAACATCATTACGTAGCTCATTTGTAAGTTTTTCTTCAAGTTTTGGCATCTGAAACAAATGTAAACATAGTATAGGCATTGGACCAATATTACTGCACAGAGGGAAGCATAAAAATTTCAGTGTCCCATGTTCTATGCCGAAGTACCCAAGCAAAATAAAACAATTCTTAACTTGTACATATAAAACACACCAAACCCAATAGTTCAATAACAAGATGTTAAGACTAAAAGCAAAATTAGTATAAAAAATGAGACATGCTGTTTTCTATAAGAACACTGTGAACATAATGAACAGTAATGAGAAATGTACTCCTTGTAACAACGCAATGCCATCACATATTTTCAGTGACGATGTTAGTGGCGTAACTGAAATAAATGTTCCCACCAATGGTGAAGCACAACCTAACGTTTGGAGGAAGAGAAAACAAATTAGAGGTTTTGAACTGTATGATCTGACACTCATAAATTTCAAGATAGTTATCATATGTGACGAAAGGTATACGTAAAGTTAAGTTATTCCTGAGCAATAAAAACATGTGGGGGTAGGAAAAGCCTCTACATATTCTTAGCCTCAACAGTAGATGACTGCCAACCCTGTCCTGCTCTACAAGGAATCCCTTTAATGATAAACTTTATCACTGATTCAGTAAGCACAACTACATACTATGACCTTTGTAATGTAACAGAAACTGTATGACATCAGTAAGATATGAGTGCTAGCTCCCATGTACCAAGGCATAAGAAATAAATAAAGCCACTGGTACTGACTGCTGCAGGGAGTACTGTCCGCAAGGCACAAGAGTAGACGTGGCCTTGTCAGCCGCTGCCGCTGTGGCAGGGGGAAGTGGGCGCATGCGCTGGTGATGTATTCCTTACCTAAGAACATTGTGTTATCAGTCAGTCAGTACATTAGCTCACGACGTACGGCCTGTATAAGCTGCGGGTGTTTCTCGGTCCGCTAGTAGCACAGAATTTTACCCCCACCTCCCTCAAAGATGTCAGGTCTACTCTCCTGGCTTGTGGACAATAGTTGAGCCCACAGCCATGTTGTAAATAATATTGATGAGACATGCATGTGGCCCTGCACCAACCACCAGACACTCACCATCTCCTGTACACCGAATATTATAATGTTTGGATAAGGATGCAGTTGGAACTTCCACAGATCCTGACAGTAGAACCTGGAATGACCACTGAGACCTAGCTGGAAAGCTCTGAGCCTAGAGTACGCTATAAGCCATGGATTGAGTTCCACACCATCAGCAATATAACCAGCCTTTGCGGCAGTAAGAACCTAGTTAAACATTATAACCATTACTTAACAAGGAAAAAATGCCAAAGATTAATAAAATAATACATACCTAATATACTAGTGATTTTAATTTATTTTTCCCCAAATGTTTATACACTTAAGTTGAGACGTGTAATTTACAAAAACACATTTTCATAAAGGGCTGAAATTCCCCTGACTATGAGCTGGCGTAGCTCAGTCAGTATAGTGACTAGCTACGGGCTGAACGATCGGGGTCCGATCCCCGATGGGGGCAGAGGATTTTTCCTGTAGCCTCTGCGTCCAGACCGGTTCTGGGGCCCACCCAGCATCCTCTACAATGGGTACCGGGGTCCTTTCCCGGGGGTAAAGCCGGCCGGGGCGTGATGCCAACCTATCACCCCCATCTAGTGCCGAGGTCAAGAAAGAGAGGAGCTATACCTCCACTCCCCCCAAGTGCCTACATGGTGTATAGTGGGACAGCTTTACTTTACAGTCCCTGACTGATTCTGCACCTCTTTATCTATCTTTCAGTACAATAAAAATATTCCTAAAACAGTGAATTCTAATCTTGTCGTAGTTACTACATTTTCCCAAGTAATTTACTATTCTTATCCTTCTTCATGCACTATACCTCCTCCAACTCTGAATGAGCAACAGTAGATAAAAGATATCGCACATTTCTGAGATGTTACCGTATGTTAATTATTTATTGTTATATTAACTTACAATCCGCCCATCTCCACTGCCTAAATCAACAAGTCTTCCAGACCGTCCAGCCAGAGCACACATAACATTTTCTATTTGTGTTGCTGTTGCTGGCACATATGGAAGACAAAACCGACGTAAGGCTGGCGAGACGAAGGGAAAGCATACTACACTGAGAACAACTGCAGTCCCACCTGTAACAGAATTACTTTGAGTTACGTTATGTGTGGGGCAAGTATAAGATGTTGAACTGTGATATGTATAAAAAATTATGGCTAGCATATAAATGAATTAAACAGTCAAACAAAGTAGCCAGTATCTGCTTGATTTAACATACATATTTTCACAAAAGACTTACAGAATCAAAGTTCTATCACAAGTTCTGCAACAACTAGTTGTGTAGGCTGAAATGTATTGTTTATAAAGGATTAAACTAAAACACTTCCTACAATAAGTTTACTTACAAAATAACCAAGTAAAATGGTTGAAATTAGATGTACAATTAGTTATCTCACCAGTAACAATGTCTTTCATGTAAATTGATGTAAAACTTGGACTCCTTAAACAAACTCTCTGAAACTTCAGTTGCTTGCATATGTAAGGTCACTCAACAAAACAGAAGTACCTAACAAGATAGGCCCTACTTCCAGTTTTCAAAATATGAACTCTAAATTTCAAATTTTAACTAACTCCTATCAACATGTAACAAAATCCACTCTTATCATATAGGATTTGAGGTTATCATGGCAGCGAGCCTGAAGATGGTTGTCTGATGGGTTGTTGCACCCTGTACTCTGGTAGAAGTTTACCGACGTTTGAGAGGTCCTTACAGCTTCAAGCACCTATTAAACGTCCCTAAACATCTACCACACTACACGGCACAACCACAACACAGCCATCTTCACTCTCAACACATCCTACACTATTGATAAAATTACTAACCAACCACTTGCACATGAAACGGATTTAAAGCGAGACAAGTTAGGTAAAAGCAAAGCTGTCCCACTATGCGCCATGTAGGCGCTTGGGGGGAGAGGTGGTATAGCTCATACTCTTTCTTGACCTCAGCACCAGATGTGGGTGAGTGGTCAGCATCACGCCCCGGCCGCGCTTTACCCCCGGGAAAGTACCCCTGTACTCATTGGATAGGAGGCTGGGTGAGCCCCTGAGCCGGTATGGACGCAGAGGCTAGAGGAAAATATCCAGCAACCTTCAAGCCAAAGTTGCAAAAACCTAATGACCTTTCAACAAATACACGATAATTTATCCTACATGCTGAACATACCACTTAAACCAATTAAACTTAGTCCAGTTTTTGAAAGCTTTCTTCTTCCAATACTTTCCTTATTATCTCCAGAGTTACAACCAACCGACATGCTTCACAGGCCACAAAAAGCCTTCATAACAGCAAGAAAAGAAATGCAATGATTGCTGATAGAATACAATATACAAATGATATAGTGTTCCGTCGGTAACAACGTTAACTGCTATCCAACTTACTCAAAGCTTCCCCCGCTCCCCCCCCATGAATTCCAATCTGTCGCCAACACAACAAATAACAAGTTTTTAAAATCTGAAAATGACAGATTCTGAAATATTTCACCATGCAGTCTGCTGAAACTGGATGATGTTTCAGAGGTGTTTACTGATTCATTTATCAGGTTAACGCCCTGAGCAAACTCGATCAACATATATTTTTAATTTCTTCTGACCTTAACAAACTACTGTATGTTGCGGTGTCACCAACCAACCTTAGAAAATTTATGAGTAGTGATAATACTTTCTGTGGTAGTGGTATTCTGAAACGATTTGTTGCATATCATAAGGCGCAATGAAAACAAAGATGGAAGAAGATACGAGGTATTTTGAAGGTTGTGGTCACGAAGGACCTATAAGATGCATATTTTTATGCGAGTTTCACCCAGTAGCAGGGCCCAAAATAACCTGTCAGGTATGTATTTATTATAGTTCTATTTTAGCTTTCGTATTTTTCTGAAAATCAAATTTTTCTGTACTAAGCCGGTATTAATGCACTTCATATTTATCTTGCCCCTCCCACTCCATAAAATAATGTTTTCATCTAAAATTGCAGCAAATAATGAAAGGAGAGTGTAAACCGATTCGCTTAGTGGAAACGCGGCTGACTCACGTTATGGGGCTACTGGTACAAATCTCGCCCGGGAAGGGGTTAACCGGCAATGCTGAGGCTTTTCATGGTTTTACTCATTCTATCGAAGGGAATGCTGGGCAAGCATAGCACGTCAACTTTTCAAGTCCATATGTGTTGACACATAATGCCTCACTTGGTTCGGTTTATTTGTATGATTTCTAAGACACACTGGATTGGACTGAATAGGAAAAGAACCCCAAGTCTTTTGTGAAGCAATAAATGAAATAACTGAGTTCAGGAAGTATTAAATGTGTGCCACTTGATTTATATTTGGTTACAATTTTGCTCTTTGTTTCGAAAACAGGTTCCAGAAGAATATGTAACAAAGGAAATATTTGATGCTGTTAGTGTTTACATAATCCCAAAACCTCAACTTCAGAGGAGCATTCTTACAGTGTGAGTATTGTGTGGTGCAAACAAAATCATTTCTTTGTATTTTTGCAGTTTTTGTAGCGTAGCCAGAACTTTTTTTACGCTGAAGATTACACCTGCAGTGTATGCTGAAATGTTGAATAATTTTTAGCATTCAATGTGGCTAATCCATGAAAGCCAAAATTGTGCACTGAACTTTTGCCATAAAAACCTAAGGACAAGAAATTATACCAAATTAACTTGTAGTATGTATGTACTAGTGTGTCATGGTAGCAAGAGGTAAATGGAACAAGTATCTGCCATTGATGGTGTGAATGGCAGTGGGGCAGATAGAACAAGTGTTTGCCATAATAATGACCCAAATTGCACTTGTACCATGTTATTGAACTTTTTTATATATAAAGAGTTCTGTCTTCTGGGTTGTTGCGCTGTGTAGTCTGATGACGGAGGCAGTATGACCTCTGAAACGTTGGTTAACATCGACCAGACTACACAGCGCAACAACCCAGAAGACAGAAATCTTCATACTCACCGCTGTGAAAACCTCAAATATTTTTTTATATACCTTTTAACACAGCTTGTAACTCAAGATTATGAAGGTGAATAAGTGAATATGAGTTTAATGGCTGCCAATAATTTTTTTATGTTTTTTTAGCAATGTTCTAGGTTACAAAATCACAGGATTTCCTGTAAGGATAGATAATACAAAGTACGCAAGAAATGCATATTATTTCAACTTATGTTTTGTGTGTGATGCTTGGGCTCGAACTGTACAATATGAACCAGTTGTCAAGAAGTTGTCTGAATATTTGGTATGTATACAGGTACAGTGTTTGTTGCGTTCTGTATTGTAGGTTGGGCAAAGTGAAATGCCTTATATTCAGACCTTATTAATGTTTCTATTATAAGCTGGTGCTTACACGTAGTAGATTTGATGAAATTTCAAACTGAGCGCTCTGAATAAAATATAAACTTAAGATGATACTTTGAACATTTGGTGATCCAGCCATTTTTCGGTTTTTGACATGTAACAACAAACCATTATAATTTTATATATATGCACATATTTATTTGAGAAATTTTGGGCTTTTTATGGTTACTAATTGAAGAGCAATTAATAGAAGTTTCTACTTTATATACTTTATGTCATAATACTAGACCATTGTAAGGGGGCAGAGCTGTGAATCCCTGTGTAACAGATCTTTTCTTTACAGTTTGGCTGTTCAAAAGCAAGGGCTCTTTCTGTTTCTAGTTGTTATTAGTCCTGACTTTCTTCTTTCAGATGACAATGGAACAGGAATCAGGTTTTTTATCTAATGAAAATAAAAGTGAAAGTGAAAAAGTAAGACTTTCAACAATGTTGAAGCAAATCCTTGAGGATTTAAATTCTCACAGAATGACAACCGTCATTGGTGCGTATGTAGTGGCTGTGTTAACTTTGGCCAATTTTTATTGTATGAACTTTTCTTATTCATTACACATTTCTATTTCTAAAATGTGGACTGCTGGATTTTTTGAACCCTTAATTACAGAAGAATATATTTTTACACTAATAAAGAAGGAATTAATAATGCATATAAGATAAACCAGACCATTTTATAAACTGTGGTTTGTAGATAATGAATTTTAATATGATATCCATGTATGTTCTTATCAGGTGAAGGTGGTAAAACTGTTTTAAATTGACATTGCAGAAGGTACCACAACAATGCATCTAAAAGTTGTCAAAGTTGCATCAGATCCGCCTCACGTATCAGACCATCACGTCCCTCTTTTCATCATGGACCAGAATATGTACCGAGAACAACAGTGGGACCTTACGACCCAGCAGGTTCTCATATTTTAATCATATTAAGGATATGAAGATACACAGATGAACCCATATAAACATTTAGGTTGATGAAGCTATAATATGAAAATAAGGACTGTTGGTTGCAGTGAATATTTCAGTGTAAGCTTATTATTGCATCATGAAAATTAACTCACTCACTCAATATATGGAGCACAATCCTTTGTGAGAAACTGATAATTGCTCAGTTAGTCAAGAAATTCCCTGCCTTTTATTGTGTTTACAAAAACCTGCCACTGGTACTTGTTTTGAGCTACATGAACCCGCTCCACTCTCTCCCATCATTCCCTTAACATCCATTTTAACATTAACTAACTAACTATATGGCTTACCGAACCCGAAGGTTCATCACCGGACCCTGTCCTGGGCCAACAAAATCCAGTCTCCTTCAACTCCTATCTCCCATAGATCCCGCCTGACATCCTCCCATCTACGTCTAGGTCTTCCCAGCGGTCTCTTCCCCTCAGGCTTCCCAACCAATACTTGGTGCACACCTCTTGTCCCATCCATGCACGCTACATGCCCCGCCCATCTCATTCTTCTCGACTTAATCACTCTGACAATATTGGGGGAGGAGTACAGAATTTTAAGCTCATCATTATGCAGTTTTCTCCATGCCCCATCGTCTTCTCTCTTAGGCCCAAATATCCTCAACACCCTGTTCTCAAACACCTGCAATCTGTGTTCCTCCCTCTGAGTGAGAGACCATATTTCACACCCATACAAAACAACAGCCATTTTAACATTATCCTCTAATTTATGAAAATTGACAGAGAATTTGTTACTGTAATGGCTAAATCAAATAATGTTTAATTTTAATGCAATAAGTTCATTATGAATCTCATCTGCCTTCCCATACATATGCAGATTTGATTACACAAATTCAGTATTAGAAGATGACAGAAAAGGATCCCAGACACATAGTTTTGTGCCTCAGAAGTCAATGAAACCAAACTGGTAAAATAAGGTATAGAAATTTAAGTAGAAAATAAATTAATCATACTTTATTGTGATGTGCATGGGAGAAATAATAAGACTAAAACATGGTAGTCATACCTAAAGTGGCCCATCCACATATGAGTCTTGACTTGCGAGCTTGACTCGTGAGCCGGGCTCGGATATATTTCACCACAGATGCATAGCAGACTCGGCTCATGCCCCACCACCCACAAACGAGTTTGGCTCAATGGAACCCGAGCCGAGCTGGACTCGCAAGCCAGACTCGTACGTGGATGGGCCACTTAAGACAATTTTCTCTTATTCTGCATCTGATGCTGGGGAAGAAAATTCTGATGATAACTGTGGATGATACTTAAGTAATCTGAAATGTCATTTTTAATTTCAGGTTCTTCCCTATATTGATGGTTTCAACCATGTTGCAAAAATTGCAGCTGAAGCTGATGTGGAAAACAATCTTGTCAAATCTTGTGTTCAGAATCTCGTGTAAGCATGTAACATATTTACATTTCACATGGAGATATGTTTGCATAATTATTAACACAGACATTTTGTAATTAAACACTCAGTTTGAAATACCAAGGCTAAGTTCACAAGATCACAGAATCTCGATTGCAGACTTTGGAAGGATAATGGATAGAAAACCAATTTTATTTTTGAGATGATTGAGAATGAGACAGGGAAGTGTATTATCACCAGTATTTTTTAATGTTACAATTAAGTAAATCTGTAATAAAGTCACTGAACAAATTAAGGAAAATTGTCATAATTTAGTTTTAATATTTACTTATTCTGAGTCTTACATAACTTTGAAATAAATAGCTTGAGATCCATTTATAACAAACGTAATAATTACTGAATGAAGTTTGGTTCCTTTTTCAGATATTATGGTGCTGTAAAGCTTATTCCAATATTTCAATATTGTAATGTATATGTTGCAACACCAGAGCTCAAACATCTTGCTGGCGGAAAGAAATTCCAAGAAGAATGCCTTCTGTATGTTTCAAAAATTGGTTAGTTTTAGGTCACATGAATGTTGCCTTGCAAATCAATCCTGCTTCTGCACTGGGAGGTACTGTTATGACATTTAGAAGAACATTGTTCTTCACTAGTTTAAATTTTTATCAACGCACAATATACCAGCAGTTCTTCTTGGCCTTTTCCAGACCTGGGGCCACATTCACTTTTTCTTGTCAGCCCTTGGGTCACAAAGTTTTAAATGACAAGTTTTCTGAAATGCTATGATTGTGAAGTCCACTTCATTATTTGATGGAACTGTCTTAGAGATGCATTGAATGCTTAAGGATATATGTAGATCTCAGACAGAAGTGACTGAGTAGAAAGTGGCAAAAAGCTGTAACTGTGTGAATAGGACTTTAACTTTTAAATGACAGGCATTTAAATGGCAGCCCTGTGAATTTTTTCTTGCAGGTATTTAAATTTTTGTGCACGCTGTACGGAAAACTTTAATATCATCTAAAGTAAACATGATAAAATGACGAAATAAAGGCCATATTTATGCAAATATAACAGAGAATACACAGTTTTTTTTAAAACTGCAGTTAATATCAGTGTCCAAAATAACTTCTGGTATTTCTTCAGGCTTTAGTAACTTTACTTTCTTTTTTGGAAGCTCAGTCGACATGGTAGAAGCCATGGTTGTGAACTACTGACCACACAGAAAATTTTGTTTCCCTGTACTTCAATGGATACTCAATTCTTTTCACCAATCATGCCAAGGAATGTGAGTAGCTTTGAATAGGGGTCTGAAAATGAAGCTGAAATGCACTTGACATAAACAAAGTTTATTGCTTTATGGTTATAGTTTCCGGGTTGACAGCTCATGTTGAACTTGTGAGAACCCTAGAGAAAGTGATTCAATATTTGCAGCCCCTAAAAGAGACCAAAAGACATTGCCAAGTCTCCTTACAGTGTTGCAAGTATTTACGTTCCGCACAAGGAACGTTCGTAGGGCTGAGTACTCAACTTACGTTCCTGACAAGGAACACAAGTAAGATAAAGGTTAAATGATGCAAACTTTTAAATCTTGTATGTTAATTATTTCTTACACTTTGATTGCAGAAGGTAATCTACCAAACCTTCGAGATGTTTTCATGATGTATTGCAACATGACACATGGAACAACGCTGCGTGATCTGTGTGTTCGTTTCAACCCTCAAGCACTCAGAATTGATGAGAGAAAATTGGTTCAGTTTGGACTTCTCCATAAATTGATTCGCCGAGTTCATAAGGTAATGTAATGTCTTCACGTATGAGCAGAATAAGTTTGTGCATGCTGCGTTGGAAGTCTACTGATGCAGTTAAATTGGGGACACTGTTCTAATATATGCTTTTATAAACAGACATTACCAGCTTTACAGTTTATGTTTTCTTCTGAAGTACTGTGCAGATCAGGCCTCCGAAACCCTACGAGACAAGGTATGGACAGGCGGTAGTATATGGAAAAGTGACAGAGCAAATTAATGGGCATTTGCTTGCCTGTTGAAGACAACTTTTATCTGGCTTGAAAATATTTGACACTAAGCTTTTAGTTTTCCAGGATCCTCTGTCATGCCTGGAAGTGAGTTTCTTCTGCGGTATAAATTATTCAAATGCTGTCTCATAAGAGTGGACAGGAAACATAACATTTTGCCAGTGATGAATCATGCTGTTGGTGAAAGGATCTTGTCCTGAAAGTCACGAAGGTTCCTACCACCGTATCCATTGTCACTACTAGAAAAGGGACCAACCCATGTCATCCACTGTAGCATCTGAATTTTCTATTCTCCAATGCTCTTTTCTGTATTGAATACCAGTATTTTCTGTGCGTAACTTCAATAATGTGTCGTTTTCAGTACCCAGTGTATGTAGAAGGGAATAGGCACCTGAGTCCTACTACACCACTACAGCGCGAATTTTCAGGCTTGGCATCTTCGGATGAGATTTGCTGCAGTACCGGTTTAAGTAGTCAGCAACTCGACGAGGAAATTGAATATGATCCAGGTGTCACAGTTATATGGAAGTGATTGATAGCTCACGAGCTAAACATTCAGTATTACCGATAATTATATATTATTTTGTAATATGCCTTGTGCATTTTGAAACAAGTTGGCAGGAATATTTTTGTAATGTAATGAATGTATGAGATGATGACAGTGGGAGAGATGAAGGAATCATGAAAAAAAATCCTCATCATGGAACTAACATGTCTATAAGGTGCAACATAACCTCTTTCTAAAACATGCATTTAAAAAAATGTATTATTAAGACAGAAATTTAATGTCACATTCCTGAAATTAATGGATAGCTGCTCTGTCTCTTGAGTATGAGTGTAACATTATTAATTATAGCATTACAGTAAAAAGCATAATTCTTAACCCTATGGTTTGTGCATTTTCTTGGAGGTAGAAAGGTGTTTTTCATATATTTTATTATTGCAGTAAATATAATGAAATCTAACCCGTGATACACCATTTGATAGAATAGAACTCTCTTCATTATGTGATTCTAAATTATGAATCTGGATTGTTGGGTGTAGTGAATATCACTGCACCTGAAGACGAGGAAGGGTCCAGTTCTTGAAAAGTTAAGTATTTTGCAACACCAGACAATGGACAAGGTCCAAAAACCCAACAATCCACACTAAATTATTAACATTTTCAAACATCTTCAGTTGTGAAACATTCCCCCCTCCCCAGCATTGTTCATTTCTGTAATACAGCGCCCTTTTCTTTAATATGAACTTTCTGCATATTACTATCACCAGCTTTGTTTCATTTATTGCAGAAATTGAAAATCCAGAGAACAGTCAATGTAGCTAAAGCAAATGTATGTGCATACTCTGTTGCCCACTTTCATTTACATGTATGTAAATGGGGGTCTGCAGTCCCCGTGCGGTCTGAGGCGTGGGCCTTGTGCCGCTTGGTCGCTGGGACCGTGGGTTCGAATCCCACTAAAGCCATGGATGTCTGTCAGCGTTTCTCTGTGTTGTGCTGTCCTGTGTACAGGTAGAGGCCTTGCGACGGGCCGATCCCTCGTCCAAGGAGTCCTACCGAATGTCTATAGATCAAGCCAATGAAAAGTTGGGACCCGCAGTGCTCAGGCACTTGAAGAACGGGTCGTTCCCAGTATGTAAATGAAAGTGCATATTTGTCAGTAGGTTAAAAGCCAATTGTTTTTAATCAACTGCCTAATTACAACTTTATAAGTGATCTTTTTATTTGATAAACACAGTATTAACTCTTTGACAACAGGGTCACAGTTGATCACCTCCACTGAAATGGTAGGTGCAAGTGGCCTTAGATGCCGACACACTTGTCCACTTGATATAAATGGAGGTATGTCCGATTGTAAACCAAGATTTTATGCTTCTAAAATTGCTTCACATCACGTTGGTATGACAGCTTATCAGTATTTTGTACTTCTGCGACCTGGAGAGCCATGCGGGACTGTGATTTTACATCAGTTTTTACCGAAGTATTGCGTTTATGGCTGCACTGTAAGGTTCCTATTAAATGTTCTGGGTTTATGTTCTTCATTTTATATTCAAGTTCCATCCTCAATATTTGTTCTTCTTCCAGTCCCTTCCATATTTGTGTCATTTAGTAAGTAAATACACAATTACTAATTACTTCAGAAATACTTAATTTCAAATAGTACAGTTTAGGTTATTTGTTAACACAGTCTTGCTCAGCATCAAGACACTTGTTTCGCTGCTTTACCAGTTTTATAGTACTTTGTCAAGAACCTCCTTTTGTTGCTTGTGCTATTTTTGTTTTGTAATTAATTAAAATATTGTACTGTTTCAGAACAGTGGAAACAAGTTTGTAACTTATGTCCGATTAGTCATATGATTTATTTTGTTATACAATTTCCTTACATGAAAATGATAGTGTAGTTACAATTGTACTAGTTTGTTTAATGGATCTTCAACACTATAACTCTTCTTCTTCTTCTACGGCTCTCCGGTCCGTATTCAGTCCATGGCCTCCTCAATTCTCCTCTTCCATTCGGTCCTATTGTTAGGTCCATTGTTGCATCTCTTAAAATCCATTGTTGTACGTCCAGTTTGATTCATACTGTGACCTCTTTTATATTGTGATATACTATTTGTGTTGTTTCTGATATGTGAACCAAACAAAGTTATATTTATTACAACTTATTTGTTTCTAGTTTTAATATCAATTTCATTTTAGTGATATTGACCTCTACATAAAAATCTGTGTATGGTAACAGAACTCAATGTTTGAGTTCATTTATTTACTGTCAGATGTGACTACTTATTGTTGTACGTAATAAAATTAAACGTTATGCTTATAAGAAATATCGCGTGGACTGCTTTGGGATTAAATCTGAGCCTCCATGGGGATAAGATGAATTCAGAACATCTGTGTGAGTAATTAAATTTTAAATCTGGAAGAGTTTAGATGCTCTTGCTTAAGACTGATAGACTACATATTGTAGCTGTGTTATTACAGTATTGCTAGTGTTAGTTATGCTTTTATTTTGAATGTTTTCTCCAGGCAGAATTCATATTCTAAAGAATGGATTCACAAGGTTGATATGCTCTATTTAATATGTAGAAATAAAATGTAATAAAATAAGGTGAAACTAATGTATTTTAAAACTGTTTTGATGAAACTGATGATTGTATTACTTAAGTATCATCGCTTACATTTGTACTGCAGAACTCAAATAGTCATCGCAATGGACAGAGCACGTAGCTTTTCTGTGAAGCCGTACCGTTACTACAGAGGCGTGATCTACTGTTCATATTGTGATTTTACTGTTTTGACATTTTGTTCAGAATATCTCTCTCTCTCCTCAGCAGGATGTATACAGCAAACCACGTAGGTTTTTTTTTAAAAAAAAAAACTTATTCAGAGAAAGTAATGGAATTTTAGTTTTAAACTGATATGAGGTGTTCTTTCTTTTTCAACAGAATCATATTATTTTTCGTATGTTTTATTTTAATAGCATGTATTTTAAAATGTCACTTTGTAATTTGTTGTGTTGTCAGTTTATTCCTTCAGTATTATCCTACCACATATTACAGTATTTCAGTGACCTTTATAAGTTATCAATCTTTTGTTCACTTATTGCACAAGTGTTTGATTTTTTTTGTGCCCTAATGGTCACCTTTGTGAGGCACAGAAAATGAATGTACAAAAATACATTATAATAAACATGACATTAATAAATTACGTACCCGAAAGCAACTGCAGAGTCTGACAAAACCAGAATGAGACAACCGATGAACCCTTACACGGGATGTGCGTGATGAGAACATTTTCAAATGAAACTTTGTTCTGAAACAAAGATAGCTGTCTTCTGGCTTGTAGCACGGTGTAGTCTAGTAGAAGTTTACCAACGTTTCAGAGGTCCATGTTTCCTCCATCATCAGGACGACCTCTGAAACGTTGGTAAACTTCTACTAGACTACACGGCGCTGCAACCCAGACGACAGCCTTCTTCGTACTCACCGCCGTGAAAACGTCAAATCTTACTTCATATTGAAAATTAATAAACCAAGAGCAATTTCAAATATCTCACTAATGGCTTTTTTGTAAAATAAAATTACTGAATGTTTGCAATAGCAAGCGTAATTTAGCAGCACTTTATGATGATGCGTCGTCATGCACAATTTTGCGGCCCGAGAGTTGATTGAAAGGGCGATTGTGGCCCCCAGGTCTTGAAGATGTTTACTATCCCTGTTTTAGACAAATAATATATTAGGTATATGAGATCTTAGGTTTACACGACGGTGAAGATGATAAACTGTTTTTCCGGGTTTTGGAACCACGTAGACTCGTCATATTTCAGACCGGCTCATGCCTATTTGCATGAAGAATGCGTCGCTTCAAGATGAAGAGAGGAAGCCTCATTAGACAGTTAGTAGAAGATATTTTTCTTTTTTGAGCAGTCATTCCCTTGTTTTGTTTTTGTTTTCCCCCTTCTATATGCTACTAAGCACGCGAACGGTCAAATGAGATAGAGGCCTAGGACAAAAGAATGATTATGAATGATGACTAATGGGAGGGACATTTGATAAAACTCTGTTTACCTCTTCTAGTTTACAGTTTTGAAAGTCGAATGATGGACTGATATCAATAGCTTGACAAAAAGGGACGAATGAAGAAAGATGTTAATTTGTTCAAAGTCATAAGGGAGAGAGACATAACAGATACACCGACATGTCACATGGCAGGCTTTCAATTATAAAATAAAGAATGTAGGATATAAAGAAATATTCATGAAATTGATACAAAGGAAGAGATATCCAACCTTCATAAATTAGCCTTCATTGCTTTGAAGGTAGAGTCTGAATGAATATCAGCAGTAAAACATAATTTGCTTACCAGTACACTGAAGCGCTGTACTATGGACATGCAGAGTAGTATCCGTTTCAGATTTATCCACGAAATCTAAATAAAGGGAGCACTGAATTCGTAATCTTTCAAGAACAATGATCAACACATTACTGAAAAATGGATACTAACATACACAATCACACCACAAAACGATTATATTTCGACGTGGCTCGGCTTAATGCGATAGCCTACGAACGATACTATCAAATGTCACTCCGAACTTAGTTCCGGTTCGATCGTACGCCTTGTGTACAGAACGGAGGCTGAAATTGAATACACCGCCCTCTCGTACTAATTAACTCTTCGATTGCGGTCTACTTTCGGAAGCGACTGATATGTCTATAAAAATAAATTTTCTGAGTCTGTGGTTCAGTTTTAATGTTTGAATATGACTGTCTCCTGGGTTATGACTGTAGTCTCGTGCCGACGTTTCAGTGGTACTTCCTGCCTTCATTATCATGTCGGTGATAAATCGCCCTGATTATGGGGGCAGAAAGTACCTCGGAAACGAAGAAAAATTTCATTCTGGCTACCAGGTGAACCCCCCCCCGAGGAGGAGATTGCCAGATTACGTTACTGAGGCCACGATCGTCCCAGGCCGGGAGGTGGTACGGCTTGGGGAGGGTAAAGCGGTGAAAAGTCAAAAGAAAACCAAATGAAACTACTTCGAATAATCGAAGTATATTATTTAATGAAAAATATTTAAATATAAGATAAACAGAATCAAGACACCTTTCAGGGCTCAAACTCCGGCTGGGTATCCAACCCCAGATGCCCAACTCAACCCCCACAAACCCTGACTTGCCTTCCGACTTTCTCCTCGAGTCGTTCTCTCTCCGGCGGACACACACAGACTGTCCTTCTGCCCTGCTGTCTCATCAGGGTCTCGAAGCCGCCGACTCCAAAGAACTTAGATATGGGAGATAAGCCACTTCGAGCCATGAGGCATGGCTCACAGGAGAACCTCAAATTCCCATATTATGCACTTATGACAGGCCTAATAATGCAACCAATTTCCCATTGAAACAGAAGGTTCATAATTATTAAGAAAGCCCAACAATTGTACCTGTGCTGAAACAAATTCAGTGGAGTTCAGATTTCCACAACCGAGTTCTCTACTATTTATTGTAATATTATCCTCTCACCTGAGCCTAGCTATCCTAAATGGGCAATCACCATGAGGTTTCCAAACATTTGTGTAGGCCTGCAGTGCAGGTTTGTACTCATACCCACTTTGCATTACCTGCAAACCTTAACTTCTTCAGAACTACTGGATTAGGCTTTATATAGCTGAGGATACATCAGAGATTGGTCAACACCACTGACATCCTGATAATGTCTTTTCTCATCATCATGCGGACTGCGTAATCGTAAATCAGGGTCAAATTATAAATGCTACAGACATAGGTAAGCTCAGATATTGTTCAATAAAATGACATTCATTGTTCTATGATAAATGCTTATTTAATTCCTCGAAGAAAATATGTACATTTACATCAGAAAACAAAAATAAAGTGACAGAGATTATTACAACCTTTATTTTGGGAACTCGGAGGTGGGCTGGAAACAGAGTTGTGTGGCCACCTGAATGATATATTTCAATGAAGTTTTTCCTTGTAATATGGCATGCCACTTTACTCTACGAGAGATTTAAAATACAAATCAAAGAGTGATGCATTTTATTGTTCAACAGTCACATCATTATCATATATGAATCAACTGCTTCACTTCCATAGCTGAATCATCACACTTAAGTAGAATGAAAGGAAGTCCCATAGAAAGTTGTTACAGTTCTGCACACCAATTTTAGAAACATACGGACATTTGACTGAAAATAAAATGGCTGCTACATAAAGAGGGCCTGTCTTATTTCTCAAGTATTGACATTAGTCAAATTTTGCAGTCTGGGTTAAAGTCTGTATCATGCGAACTTTTCTTCGGAGGATGGAAGACGGGAGATTTTAATTGTACACTGACAGAAGAGATTACTTGAGAAAATACATGACTCAGTGACTTTGGTAGGTGAGATGGAGGTTCCTTTGGCCTGAGATGGTGCTGAGGTCTGAAAAAAAGGTGGAGAAACATAAAAATGTTATTTAATTTATACTAAATCACTTTAAATTGTTATTAATTAATGACATTCAAAATATACCAGCAGAATACAGCACTTGCACATAGACACTTAGAGAAAGAGTGGTCCTCAATCAGCAACAGTTACTTGATGTTCATGTCCCATGTTTGTTTGATTTGCACATGTATGTGTTGCTTCTTGAAATAAATTTGTGTATATAAAACATTATCATCATAATATATGACACATACTGCATTATCATATATGGTACTGACAACTAGATATGTTCTCCTTCCACCTTCGTGTGTTTGCGAACAAAATGTATCTTTTAAAATTAATTTTTCAAGTTTGATGGTTATCAGACACAGACTTCTTCCACATTCTCAGTATTCATTATATTAATTTTAACAAGGAGGAATAGGACAGGCCTGTCTACTTATGTGTAGTAATGACATATTTTACATTCAGCCAAGAGTGTATTTGGGAACTTTTCACTCTATTTTCATATTTTAATGTAACAGCCTTCCTTTAAGATACTAAATAGTTGCACACCAACTTACTATTTAGGGACTATTTGAATAGGTTGGCTGTGTCTGCTGAGAGCAAGCACCTTCCTGTGGTATGTTTGCATCTAAATACAGTCTTGTACATGTTATGCGACGACTGATACCCCTCACACTATAGTAAATGCTGTTGTAGGCCTAAGTAACACTAGAATTACTTATAAGATACATTCATACTCATCATTACCTGTTTTTTTGTCATTTATGAAATAAACCAAGACAGAGGAAACTTTTAATTCAGCAGGTGGATAATTTCCCAGTTTAAACATTCCACTCAAAATATATCTACAAAGCAAAACTGAAATGTTTGCATTATCTTGTTTATACTGTGACCAAGTCCAGCGTCCTCCATAAAATCATTAGTCTCAAACATTCTTCATTGGAATGCCATGTTGTGAACAAGCACTGATTCCATTTGCCTTGCAATGACATATTCTGAAAGTGTTTTCAGGTGAGGATGAAGTTTATAATAGAGAGATTTAGAAGGAGGCAACTGGTAAAATTAATATTAGTGTGTGGAATATGTAATGTTTCTACAGTGTTTACAAGAATGAATATTTTAATTTTGAAAGAAGACTCAGAATATGTCATTCATTAGTGCCTTGTTACACATATTACACCAGCACATCATACATATGTGTATTCCTTATTTATCTGTTATTATCGTAATATTCGTAACAGCTGGAGACCAAGACCAAACTGACAAAATACTGTATATAAGGACCATAAGAGATTTTTGGATTAGAAAGCCAAAGTGACAGGAATTGGGGCCACAGAAAAGATCACAGACACATTTTAACACACAAAAAAGATTTTTTTTTAAAATTTGCTAACACCTCAGAGTATAAGAAAGTTATCACTATGAGCTCAAATCTAGGAGCTGTCATCCATATTGATCTAGTTTACGAAATACTTAATTCCTATAAATTATGTTTAAGAGTAAAATAAATTTGAATTCATTTTAATATTTGTAACAACTAATAGTTATAGAAATAATGATATAGATACCAGCTCCTTTTGAAGTGTGATTTCTGATCTTCTGGGTTTCAATGTCATGTAGACTCATCATTTATAAACAAGTCTATATGGTGCCAAAATACAGATCATCTAAATAAGTTTTAGAGGAACAGATTACCTTCATCTTCAGGGAAATATGTTCCTCTAAAATACTGGCAACCACTTGGAATGCTACATGGCATAAAATCCCAAAAGTCCATGGTCTACATTTTCACCACCGATAAAACCCGAAATCCCATTTTGCAATTGTTAAATATAAACTAGACAGAGGTGCTCAAGTCTGGTTTCGTTTTATGCATCGTGCCTTCATTCTTGGGCAACAATTATTCTCGAAAGCATCACCCTAGTTTCTCAGTCTATTCGAGCAACAATGTGATTTATAAGAGAATTAATATGTATTTTCATTTTACGGGAAAGAATAACAACCAACCAACAACATTCTGATATTTGCTAAAACATGTTATGTCATAAAATTTAAAAGCTCATGTTTTTTTAACTCCAACTGTAATTATAATTCGAAGCTAATGTACTGAACTGAAAACAAACATTTTAAATTAAGTGGTCATTGTATAAGGCCATGTTTATACTAGGCATTTATTAAAATTTAACACTGAGTCATTTGTCATGTGCTGTTTATGACTCATAAACTGAACTCTGTTTTACACTTTTTCACATGTATTCATATTATATACAAAAGTTATTTAAAACTGGAAATAGAGTAATTTATTTAGACTCAAATCATGACATATAAATACAGAATTATCCATAAAAATTATTCTTCGTACGAACATTTAGAATCAATAGAATATTACAAACATAAAATAATTAGTTTGGATTTCATCATAGTTTAAACACGGCCATTTCAAAAGAAAGTAATGCTGAGTAAATTTTTATCATTGCCACTGACTTTTATACATAATATTGCTGTATTAACTCATCCAGCAACAAGTGAATTACGGAGAAAGACTTTTTATTTCCAATGCATCAACACTCTCAAGGAGACTTCATGGGTTGGAGCAGCAGTCAGATGCTGAAAGACTAACAGACTGAAACTCTTCAAACTTTATGCAAACATGGATAACATGTTAACTAGGAAAATGTTTAGGCAAACACTTCCACTATTTTAGGACATGATAATAACATCACCTGTGAACATAAATAATCATGAAGCCAATTGGGAATAAATTATCACTTAACTGTGAGTGTAAGTTAAAAAGGATGTGCAAGTTAAAATATTATCCACTTCCATAATTCAATTCTTCTATATCAGCCAATATTAAAATACAATATAAATTCTTTGAGATCAAAGAATTGTTAGATTGAAGAGTGGTCATTCAAAATATGGCTCCCTTTTATTCATAGTTCATAATAGTTCAATCACACATTGTGTGAAAACATGCCATAGCCCTGAAAAAATATTGGATACTTTCCTTATGGCCTGACAAAATATATTTGTTCACTGGACTAGGAACTGTCTATTTACACACATACGTAACAGCAGCCTCTGGCATGTACCAACTGCCCATGACATACCTGTACCTGCACATATAAGCTACGTCTGCTATTCAGTTATCACATATACTCATCATTACAAAGAAAGAAAAGTGTAGTTTACAACATTAGAACAGCCTTGCGTCATTTTTAGAATTACACTACAGAAAACATAAGTGAAATGAAATCATGTTCCCTGTACAACATTGTAGTACTTACCATTTCTCCATCACACTCAATCGCAAATCAACTCTGAAGAAACACGAGTTCTTAAATTATTCATAGATTAGTATTAGCGACGGTGGTGGAACAGCAGAAATAATTATAATGAAGTTTTCTCATGTGATTAACCATGTTAACATGGAGTATGAAATCAACATTTCAGAGACTATCTCTGCCTTCATCATCAGGGTTGATGTGATAAATCATCGGCTGTGATGATGGAGGCACAGACAGTCTTCAAAATGTTGGATATGAGCTCAACAGTCAAACATGTGATCACCAGAGAAGACTGTGCTCCATTCAGTAGACATGAAAGCTTCATAAGTTAGAAATAATTATGCATAGTCACAGCGACTGTAATGAGTGTCTTCAGTAAAGCAACTTGCTAGCGGCTAACTTTTCCTTGTCTATATACAGAAATCTACAGTTTGATATTTGCTTTCATAAAATTTAGCACGCATTGAATTCCTGGGAAACCATTTTCACCACATTACCAATGTTAAAATACAGGCAACCCATGACTTATAACCCCCACCTTACAATTTCCAGCATTTTTAATATTCGTTTTCATGTGATATAGTCCTTAACCCCCCCCCCCAATTTATACTTGCAGCTCACATTTATAATGGCATAAAAAGCAGAATATGAAGGAATTTTGTACATGAAACTTTTGTGATATGTGCAGAACTGTATAATTACAATTTTGAAATATATTTTCTGTGCTTTATTTTTACAGTGAATGTCTGGAAAGTCATATAAAATGGATTCCGGTTAATTGGGGCACATCGGGACTAGAACACTTTGGCCCAATTATGTGAAGTTCCACATAAAGAGTTAAAAAGGTTTGTTCTTTAAGATTTGTCCCAAATAAACGGC